AGCGCAGCAATGACAGCATGACAAAGTTCCTCTTGTCGCGAACGAAATATGGAACCACCAACAGTCGCACGCCAAAGTCCTCGCACAGCCGTAGCTTCCTTGCTTGCATCTCTCTCGCCTTGTTTGAAAAATGCGTCAGGGCTCAACAAGTTGAAGTAGTTGTCAGGATTGAAATGTTGCTCGCCATGATACTCGAAAGCAAGATTTATTTCCACACAGTGACCGTCCAACTGCAGGCCTGCCAGAAATGTGGGAAAGCTCGACAGAAATGTGTATGCGTAAAATATATTCAAAGAGCTGTCTCACATCAGATTCTGTCCGCCACCTGCTGCGCGCGCAACAGGGACACCAGGTGCCTCCGTGAAGAACACTCCTTGGAACGGCTTCCCACGTGTGTCCAAGCTTGCACTGCCACGGTAACTTGCGCTGGCGCATTTGTATAGGCTGTAGCCAAGCACTTGCCGCCCAAACTGTAAGCATGTTCCTGCAAGAGGCGCAAGCCAACCGGGGCTTTTCCAGCACAATGCGGGCACCAAGTTCCAGAGTTCAAAACTTTTGCTGCTGAAGCCATACACGTGTGGCCCTTTTGGCATTTCCATGGCAGCCTTGTGGCGCTGTTCTTGTAAGTTTTCGCCAAGCATACACCACCCATTGCCTTTGCGCGCTCCTGCAAGCGGCCAAGGCCAACGAGTGTAACACCAGCACACGTTGGGCACTACGAGCGCGCGTGCATGATTGAGTCAGCACGGGCACGCCAAGTGTGACCGCGACTGCAGCGCCAAAGCGGCTTTTTCCTGCTGTGTTCGTAGTCAGAAAGGCACTCACCTTGCATCCTGCTAGCATGTGCCTTCAGCTGCTGGAACCGGGCTGTCTGCCCCTCCTCTCGCCGAAGACCTCGCACTGTGGTGTCAGCGCCAAGCTTGCTTCCCCACTGATTCCCGCAGTGGGCCTGACCTGCTGGAGTAGCACGCTCCACATGAGCTTGAAAGACAGCAGCTGCAATTAGCCAACTGCTGACTCACCTCACCCAGGCAGTGATGCGTCACTTTGGCACCCATTTGGCATCCCCTCGCAGCTTGAGAACCAAAAAGCCTGTCGGGCCAAGGGACGGCAACAGCCCGCTTGTCGCTTCTAGAGCTTCGGGAAATAACACGAGGAAGGTGGAAGGGCACCTTTCGAATTCAAGCCCTTGGTAACTTAAGATGAAGAAGCCAACCAAGGCAGCAATTGCACTAAATTGGAATATTCACTTTGCCAGCGCCATTGTCGGAAAGCAGGCTCCTTGCCAGCTTCAGATTTCCTAGCGCTTTCTAGCGTGTGAGCTCAATTCAGAACCAAGAAAATGTTAGTTTCCACCTTTCGCTTGGGCTCACTCAATGCACACAACTTCTAAGCCTCATCAAGGCTAGAAACGACAACTGAGGCAGGATCTTTGGAGGAAGGTGCAACCATACATTCAAGGGAACATAGGGATCCTAGCCCGAGGTAGGGGGTGGGGTGCTACAGCTCCCTGGAAACCAAGGATAAGTCTGGCATCAGCCCTCCCACCCTTTTTGAACCCAAACCTGGTTGGAACCACAACGACGTCGGCCAAAGCCGCTTTGCCAACTGTGCAGTCCTTATGTTTACAAATCAGTCACTCCCAACAACCCCCCACCCGGCAACAAAGGAGAAAAGAACTGTGGCTGAAGGCCACCCTAACGGCCGCAAAGAAATGCGAAACAGACTCACTAGCTGATGTCACTTGTCTTTTTCGTCAACTAGCTCCTTGTATCCAAGTAAGCCTTGTTCTTCGTTTTCCGTTGGCTCCTCACTTGGGAAAAGGCCCTCCTTGTAAGCCTAATGACACCAAAGCAAGCTATGCCTAAGCCAAGCCTCACGGAAACGGTTGCGCCCTTGGGGACCAGCCCCTGGCTTGTTTTGCGACAGCCACAGGAGGCGACTAGTCATGCAATAGAAGAAGACACTATATTTGCTTCTGTAAGACTGACACCAGCGCCGCTTTGCAAAGATGTTCGGTTCACCTCCGAAATACGGAACCAGCGCAGCAAGAACAGGAGGACAAAGTTCCTCTTGTCACGAATGAAATATGGAACCACCACAAGTCGCACGCCAAAGTCCTCGCACAGCCGTAGTTTCCTTGCATCTCTCTCGCCCTGTTTGGAAAATGCGTTGGGGCTCAACAAGTTGAAGTAGTTGTCAGGATTGAAATGTTGCTCGCCATGGTATTCGAAAGCAAGATTTAACGCCACACAGTGACCATCCAACTGCAAGCCTGCCAGAAATGTGGGAAAGCTCGACAGAAACGTGTGGGGGAAAAATATGTCTTCAAAGAGCTGTCTCACCTCAGATTCTGTCCGCCACCTGCTGCGCGCGCAACAGGGACACCAGGTGCCTCCGTGAAGAACACTCCTTGGGACGGCTTCCCACGTGTGTCCCAGCCTGCATTGCCACGTTACTTTGGTACCGAGACTTCTATAGGTTGTAGCCAAGCACTTGCCGCCCAAGTTGCGCGCATGTTCATGCAAGCGGCGCAAGCCAACTGGGGCTCTTCCAGCACAGTGCGGGCACCAAGTTCCAGAGTTCAATATATTTCCTGCTGAGGCCATCCATGTGTGGCCCTGCTTGCACTTCCAGGGCAGCTTTGTCTGGGCGTTCTTGTAAGTGTTCGCCAGGCATGCACCGCCCTTTGCTATTGCATGCTCCTTCAAGCGGCGCAAGCCAACTGGGGCTCTTCCAGCACAGTGCGGGCACCAAGTTCCAGAGTTCAATATATTTCCTGCTGAGGCCATCCATGTGTGGCCCTGCTTGCACTTCCAGGGCAGCTTTGTCTGGGCGTTCTTGTAAGTGTTCGCCAGGCATGCACCGCCCTTTGCTATTGCATGCTCCTTCAAGCGCTCAAGGCCGATAGGTGCTGTACCAGCACACGTTGGGCACCACGAGCGGCTGTGCAGAATCGAGTCAGAGCTGGCGCACCAAGTGTGACCGTGGCTGCATCTCCAAAAAAGCTTCTTCCGTCTGTTCTCATATTGGTCAGAAAGGCACTCACCCTGCATCCTGCTGGCATGTTCCTTCAACTGCTTCAAGCGAAGTCTTTGCCACTCCTCTCGCTGAGGACCTCGGTTGGCTTTTGAGAAGGCGCGTGATGTCAGTGCCAAGCTTGTTGCCGCATCTAGGCCCACATTCCACCTGGCTGGTTGGAATAGCACTTTCCACATCTCTGAGATGCTAGTCTGCTGGCTTTGGCACACATATCTGGCATCCCCTGACAGCTTGAGAACTCCAAACAAATTGTCCACACGCCGGTCGCTTCTAGGGCTTCAGAAGGAGGACGCTAAGGTGCCTGACCCCCCCTGCAACACAATCAGCCTGTTCAAGCCCTTGGTGCCGGCGTTGGCTGTGCAGCCCCCACTCACGATGAACAAGACCACACGCACTAACACCAAGACAAATACCAAAAGCACTCTCTGAGATCACCCCCAAAGTGTTTGGGCTGAATGGAAACAATGAATTTGGCAGACGCAGTTGTTCAGCCTCATCTAAGATAGACAGCCTGCTGAGGCCAAACTGCCTGGGGCTGGGTCGTTTGAGGGTCTTTTGAGGGATATACACTCAACGAAACATTGAGGTGCCCAGAACGAAACTGTGGGTAGGCCTACAAGGAATATCCTACCTCTGGCATCAGCCTTCGCACAAATCAGACCAGTAACACCAAGTTAGCCTTCTGCGCCGTTGAAACGTAGCTGACCCCAGAACTATGTGAAACCACAATGACATCGGTTGAGCAATTTGTGGTCCTTATGCCGCAACATGTGGGTGTGTCTCAAAAGAGGGGACCCAACAAAATGGTTGGCTTCTTAGAGGCCGCCAGAAAACCAACCAAACGTGACCCCAATGTGAGTGGTGTTTTCTTATTCCTGCTTAAATTGAATGGACGTACGGACCCCTTCCGCGAAAGCTTCTTCCGCGGCGTGAAGGGTACCTTCCTACGAACGAAAATATTTATAAGCGCTTCCGCGAGCCTTCCGCGGCCAAGTTGCTTCTGGAAATTGAGGAAGGTAGCTTCTGCGAGTGAATTCCGCACAGAACCGAATACGACCGAATACGTTGTAGTATGATTCTGTCAGCCTTGCTTTTCATCTTCATCTGCTCCCCACCTAAGGAGAGGCCCTCATAGACGCCTCATGAGAACCAAGCAAGCTGTGCCTCACAGCGTGCGTACAGTACTTTGACAGCATCAGTTGAGTAGAAACGGTCGCTCCCTTAAGCACCAGCCCCCAGCTCGTTTTGCACAACCACACAGGACGATTGATCATGCAACACAAACGGAGACATCTGAATCACAACTGCTTCTGATGGATGCGCCGCGGAGCGATTCATGGTTCTTCTACCCAAAACCAGCAACAAGAGCGCAACGCATGCATCTGGCTAGATCGCAAAGGTTACATACTTCAGGTAGGAGCTTGAGGGGGAAGGAAACCAATTGGACCCAAACAGTCAGGTGCGCCTGATCTTTCCCTCATAAAAGCCCGATGTTGGGGTTCGTGGTTCCAGGGAGACCTTCAGACCTAGTATCAGGACCATGCAGTCATAGAGTATCAACTGGGTCCAACTTCCTGGGTCCAAACTCCACGGCTGGCCAACTTTTGACCTTTCTGCACCAAGCACTCCCGCGCGCTATCCTCCACTCACGCTGTCTCAGGGTGCCACCACATCACAAGACTGACTGGCTCCACACAACGAATAAAATGTGGAACCACCACAAGTCGTACGCCAAAGCTTTCGGACAATTGCATCTTCCGTGCGACGCTCTTGTGCTGGTTGGAAAATGAGACAGGATAGTATTCGTCAGGACCAACGTGCTGCTTGCAATGATGATCGAAAGCAAGATATAACGCCACAACTGCAGCCTGGCCAGAAATGCGGGAAAGCTAGACGGGAATTTGCGTGGGCAAAGTCTCGCTGTCTCACCTCAGACTCTGCCGGCCACAAGAGGGAGATCAGGTACTTGTGTGAAGAACATTGTGGGGTAGCTTCCCATGTGTGCCCAAGCTTGCATTGCCACGGTACCTTGTGGTGGGCTGTGGCCAAGCACATGCCGCCCAATCTGTGAGCAAAGTGCTGCCAGCGCAGCAAGCCAACCGGGGTCTTTCCAGCACAGTGTTGGAATCAAATACAGCTGCTGCTAAGACCATCTCTGTGTGGCCCCCCTGGCATCTCAACTGTAGCATGTTGGTGCCACATCCCTGCCAGGCATACACCGCCCTTTCCATTTGCATGCTCCTTGAAGCTGCCAAGGCCAATAAACAATAGGCTAATTACGAGCGATCACGTTTGGCACCATGCGTGTTTGTGCACAACCGAGTCAGGGCAGTCCTCGTACTTCTCAGAAAGCCATCACCCCGCATCCAAGCTGGAGAGTGCTTAGTTGGAGCTCGTAGACCTTGACCCGCTGGTGCTGGTCAAGCTGGAACTGGTCAAAGTGGCGCTGCTGCCAACGTAGCTGGTGCTCTGTGCCGGTCAAGGTCGTAGATCCTGTGCTGGTTTCTGTCGCGGACGTAGTCGTTTCTGCAGTGGCTGCGGTGTCCGTGCTTTTGGTTGTGCCGCTGGTGCTCCTGGTGAAGGTGCTTGCAGCAGAAGAGCTTGTAGTGGAGCTGCTGCTGGAAAGTGATGAGTTGGAACTTGTAGACCTTGAGCTGCTGGTCAAGCTGGAACTGGTCAAAGTGGCGCTGCTGCCAACGTAGCTGGTGCTCGTGGATGTTGCTTCTCTGCCGGTCAAGGTCGTAGATCCTGTGCTGGTTAGTGTCGCGGACGTAGTCGTTTCTGCAGTGGCTGCGGTGTCTGTGCTTTTGATTGTGCCGCTGGTGCTGAAGGTGCTTGCAGCAGAAGAGCTTGTAGTGGAGCTGCTGCTGGAAAGTGATGAGTTGGAACTTGTAGACCTTGAGCTGCTGGCCAAGCTGGAACTGGTGAAAGTGGCGCTGCTGCCAACGTAGCTGGTGCTCGTGGATGTTGTTTCTGTGCCGGTCAAGGTCGTAGATCCTGTGCTGGTTTCTGTCGCGGACGTAGTCGTTTCTGCAGTGGCAGCGGTGTCCGTGCTTTTGGTTGTGCCGCTGGTGCTCCTGGTGAAGGTGCTTGCAGCAGAAGAGCTTGTAGTGGAGCTGCTGCTGGAAAGTGATGAGTTGGAACTTGTAGACCTTGAGCTGCTGGCCAAGCTGGAACTGGTGAAAGTGGCGCTGCTGCCAACGTAGCTGGTGCTCGTGGATGTTGTTTCTGTGCCGGTCAAGGTCGTAGATCCTGTGCTGGTTTCTGTCGCGGACGTAGTCGTTTCTGCAGTGGCTGCGGTGTCCGTGCTTTTGGTCGCAGCAGAAGAGCTTGTAGTGGAGCTGCTGCTGGAAAGTGATGAGTTGGAACTTGTAGACCTTGAGCTGCTGGCCAAGCTGGAACTGGTCAAAGTGGCGCTGCTACCAACGTAGCTTGTGTTTGTGGATGTTGCTTCTGTGCCAAGATGCTATATATGCTGGTATCCGTGCCGGATGTAGTCGTTGCCGCAGTGGCTATGCTGGCATGCTCTTGCAGCTGCTTCAACCATGCTGCATGCCATTCCTCTCATTGAAGACCTCGCGTTGCGATCGAAAAAGCGCGTCAGTGCGAAGCTTGCTGCCGCATCAAGGCACACAGTGGACCTGACGGGTAGTAGCACTCTCCGCATCACTGCAGCCATTGTGACTACGTGCTGACCGCCACCTCCCAGTTGCACAAATGCGCGGCTGCTGGTGTTGGCCCCATCTGCGGTATCCCATCACGGCTTGAGCAAAGGGGCCGGCCTATGTGCGCAAAGACACGTGCACAGGAAACGGCAGCCGGCTGCTCTGTCTTTAAAGCCTGTGGAAGGCCGCCAAGGAAGTAGAAAACCCTCCTTCAAGGCACACAATTAGCTTGTTCACACCCTTTACACCTCAGCAACGGGGTGTGCAGCCACAACTCAAGATGAACAAAAAGGCATTCCGTGCAAACACAGAGGGCTAAATGGGAAGGTTCGCTCGGGCAGAGCAATTCCCTGGCAGGGCCACTTCCGGTTGACCGTATTCAAAGGCAAACTGCCTGCGGACTCATCAAGGCTGGATAAAACCAACTGCAGCCAAACTGCTTGGGGCTGGCTCCTGGCTCTTTCTTTGGAGAGTCTTCGGAGGAAGGGTGGCTTGTGAGGCCCTTGGGCAGTGGGGAAGTTGGCCAAATATGAGAAACAAAACAGACATGATCCCAAGAATGAAGCTGTTCTGGGAACAACATTGTTGGATAAACCGAGAGCAGGCCTGGCGGCAGCCAGAGCAGAACTCAGCAAAGCATACCGGGGACAGTGAAGCCAGTTTTTCCAAACATCAAGAACAGGAAATAATGCGGATTGAGATCCGACTTAAGTGGAGCCAAGTGAACCAACATGAACGACATGAACTTACCCCTGCCCCACGTTCTGGCGCCTCAGCAGTGGCCTGGGCTCGAACCGACTGGGAGTCACAGGTAAGTTTGCACCCAAAGTTACCTTTTAACCCCTATAAACACTTTTGTTGGAACAAACAAGTCAAAACATAGCTTCAAAGTGAGGAAGCATAGGGGGCCTTATTGGTACCAAAGAGGTCCAAAAAGGGGTCAAACAAGGTCAACACACGCCAACCAGGCCCAGCATTCTCTCCGTGGCAAGGGCCAGTGTTTGTAAAGGCCGATCAGGCGCTATAAATCGCTATGATGGGAACTGGAAGCCCCAGCTTGGGGGTTTGGTTTGTCATGACGGGAGGGGACCTGGTCCACGCTATTTGGTTTTAGCGTTTTTAGAGGGCTACCAGCTCATTCATCTACAAAAAATAATCCCATCTATTACAAGTACGGGGAAGCAACAACTGAGCTACAGGTACTGGTGTGTTGGGAATGGTGCCAACTTCAACTTGATGTGGGGCGGGCGGCCTTTACCACACCATGGTTTGCTTGTTGCCATCGGGTATCTTTCATGAGAGGAAGTTTGAACAGACCTCAACTAACTGAGCATTGCCCCATGCCTATGGATCTGTGGCCCCGGCAATCTCGCCATCCGGGCAAGTGCATGCGCTCACCTGACGAGCAAGGAGATGCCCGGGTCGGCTGTCGGCTGTGGCTTGTTGGCTGTTGGGCATGTAGGGGGTAAATAGAATATGTTTAAAGCCACAAATAGCAAATGGGCCCTCAAGAACTAATCATCATGGGAGAGGTGGCAAACCATTTGCGTTTGTTTCAGGTCGCTCTAATGTGCTAACTGTTCAAAACGTATGAATATTATCTGAACACTTTCATTGAACCTCACACTTTTAACCAGCCGTGTGGTATGAAAGAAATGCCGACGAGTGCTTCAGGGGTTAGAGCTATTAGAGGCACACAAGTCGCGGGGATGTGGGAAACAGTTAGAACACCCAAGCCGAGCATGACCGTGTGCCTGGGACAGTTTGCAGCCAAGCAGCGTTTGAGCTATTGGAGCTCGAAATACCTGGGCACATAAGGCAACTCAAAAGATTGGGTAAAGTAAGGGTCCAGGAAAAAAAGTCACCCTCTTTGCGGACCAACCCCCTGAACGCACAACCCAGCGCCAAGCCACTGCAGGCGACGCAAAGCCAACGCTGCTGCGTGAGACGCGCCTGGTGAGGAAGGGGGTAAGAAGGCACTCTCGACAGTTGTCCAAAAAGAACCCCAGACCAGCCGCAGGCTCTCTGAAGACTCTTGTGGTATCGGGTATCCTGCCGAAATACGCTTCCCAAGAGGGCATCTGCCTGATCAAGTCAACAATCAAGGGGAAACATAGGAACCCTTGGCAAATCTTGGCAATCTGCCAAGGCAGCAGCCACTCCCAACAGCCTGCGGCCGGCTGAGTAAGTCCATGCGCTTCACCCCCAATGCACACCTCGCCTCCGTGCCATTTGGGCATGGCCCGCAGCTGTCGCTGGTGAAGCCGAAGCCTCGTCAAAGGATCCCAACCCCTCCTCCACCACCCCCGCCCATGCCATGTCATCGAAGGGTCAAAGGGGAGAACTGGTCAACCTGGGATTGATGTGCAGGACCAAATAGTGAGGGGTGCTCTCGCGGATTGATCCTATTCTAACGCTCCTACATCCGACCCAAATCCGCCCTGGGCAAAAACACCACAACCCCCCCCCCAACAATATATATATATATGTATAATATATATATATATATATACACATTATATTAAAACATAAAACCAACTCCGTAAGATGATTTGTTTAAGCCATTGCCGCCTGAGTGGCAAAAGCTTCCACCTCTGCAAACTGGCATGCCACCCCCAAAAAATCGGCCTCCCCCAAAGGATGTTCCTCTAAGAACGTGGCTTTCTTGGGTTCCATCGCAATCTGCAGGATGGTAACAGGTTCAAGAATCAACTCCAAGGGGCTCGGCGCGCCAACGCCGTAGCAGGGCCGAAGCTGCCACTGAGGCGCGGGGAAAAGGAGCGGAACTTCCTTGGGACGCGTCAGCATGTGGATTGCCTGTGTCTGCCGTTTGCAACTCTGGCAAATGTGGGGGATTGTTGATGCTGGCTCCAGTCACCTCTCAACAGTAAGGACGACAAAAAAGAAGAAGTAGGGGGCAAAGGATCGCTTCCGTGACCCCCGAACCGCAACCCCCGGAAGAATACATGGTGTGCAGCCATTGCGCGCACACAACATGGCGATATACACCAAGGGAAGCCGGGGTGGTGGTTTTGGAACCCTCCTGAAATCGTTCAGTAAGGTAGCGAAAGAAATATACCTCGAAGCCAGTTGGCTAGATTGTTTTTGTTTACAAAACAAAAGACAGACAAAAGAAAACAAATCAACTCATGTGTAATGTGCTGTGTGCATTGATATGATGGCAACGCTTTGGGCTGCCAACTCTGAATGCGGAGAAGGGCCTGCGTATGGTTGCAGACCCCGACTATTAACACGTGGATGAAGGAATGCCAAACACACCATTGCAACGGTAATCAGCAGCCACTTTTATGCCCACACGCTTGCAGCCTTCCCCCCCTTAGTGGTCTTGGCATTCAACACAGCTTTCAGCATAACCAGCAGCTAGTCAAAAGCTTAACCCAATTCAACGCGATATTCTTTCCTTGGCACTCTGCAACCGGGACACTGGTGGATACACCTGCGCCAAGCTGCCGCCCTGCGATTGAGCCAACTGAGTGAATGAGCAAAGCCCTGCCACCAACATGGAAGCCCACTCCTTTCCAGAAGGACAGTAGTCTGAGAGACGCACATAATTTGTTGGCTTTCCTTTTCCAAGGTTGCTCCGAAGACCCTGGAAAAGAACAGAAAACAGACCCCTGGAATAAGAATAGAGACACTGGTGCCTCCTGCTCTCTGACCCGTGCTAGGGACCTTGCTCAACA